TTAGTGATATCAAGTGCTAGCCCTTTAAAAAGTGGTTCAACATCTTTAAATAAAGCTATCTACAAGTTTATTTAGTAAATAAATGATATTCATAAGCTAAGATTAGTTCATAATTTTGCTAATAAGTCAGGTTAAATTTTTATGCTTGAATTGAAAGTGTCTTTGTTATATTTTAAAGGAGGCAGCATCAATAGAGGATGACAGGACGGACGCTAGCAATACCTGTGTTTCCTGTGTTTGTGTGAAGAATGGAGCATAGACAGGAATGGCAAGAAGGATTAGGACACACGCTTCAGAAGTCTAAAATTCCCTGAGTTCTGCCTAGTGTTAAAAACACCTCCCCTTGTTTGAGAAGGTAAGCTGGTGTTGAGTGTTAACCCTCCCTTGTCTGAATTCCCTATAACAACAGTCTACAAAAGGAATGCTAATTTTCCTCGAAGCCAACCTCCAGGACAGGCTCCTGCCACCAGACCTGTAAACAGAGTCAATTCCGGTCAAGGAGAACAGCTAGGAATTCTGGCCTTAGGAAAACATAAAACATGTTAAAGAAATCGTTAAGAAATTTCAAAAAGTCCTTAGCAAATAACATGTAAGGCAAACATATGTTAATCACAAAAAATCATAAATGTCTGAAGCAAAGCAGGAAAATAAATATGTAGCTTACACTCCAAGACAGCGTCAGTTGAATTTCATGCCAGAAAAATAAAACACATGATCAGCAAAGCCGCAACAGATGCTCCTCTGGTTTTATACAGTTGCATTGCTGCATACACTGATGGCTACCCGGTATCAATACTCAGGAGGACATCAGGAAACTCAAAAATCGGAAGTCACTTTTGCACATGCAGCTTGTGGTATACCTCCATCAAATTAAAACAGCGGTCCCAAATTAAAAATATCAAATAAAATTGCCTAACTGATCCACCGCCCTCAATGAATCCTATATTTAGAAACTATGAAAGATGGGAAAGATCTTGAAAATTTATTTTTGCATTTTATAACTATAAGGTTGGAGGCCAAGAGAGATTTCATGGCTTGGAGGAGGCTCAGCATTAATTAAGAGAAATGAGAATTATTTCTCCCTGCTTATTCTATTGCCTCAAGCCTCCCACAAATGCCTGCTGTCATTTTGTGTAATGGATTAAATATAACAGTAGATATGTAGAGCTTGCAAAAATATAATCACTTCTGTGTCTTGAAATATATTATTTATGAATGGAAGATATAATCAACAGCAGAAAAGTTGAAACTAGGTTCATTTTTGCAAGTTCCACTTTCAATTCAAACATAAAAATTTAACCTCACTTATTAGCAAAATTATGAACTAATCTTAGCTTATGAATATCATTTATTTACTAAAGAAGAGGTTTACAATAATTTTCTTGTGATGAATATGTAATGTCCTTCTCCATCTCTTTTAATTTTAGTTTGAAGTCTATTTTGTTAGATATTAGGATATTAGCTACACCAGCTTGTTTCTTAGGTCCATTTGATTAGAAAATCTTTTCCCAACTCTTTACTCTGAGGTAATGTCTGTCTTTGAGGTTGGTAGGTGTTCTTGTTTGCAGGAGAAGGATGGGTCTTGTTTTCCTAACCATTCTATTAGCCTGCATCTTTTTATAGGTGAATTGAGTCCATTGATATTAAAAGATATTAATGACCAGTGATTGTTAACTCCTATTATTTTAGGTTTTGTTAGTGGTGGTAGTAGTATGCCTGTGTCTCCCTTCTTTGGGATTTGCTGGTGTGAAGTTATCTATTGTCTGTGTTTTCATGGGTGCAGCTAACTTCCTTGGGTCGGAGTTTTCCTTCTAGTACTTCCTGTAGGGCTGGATTTGTGGATAGGTATTGTTTAAATATTAATTAATCTTAATTAATCTCTCCTTTCATCCCAAACCAAAAGGCCCATGAATCTCTGAGCCCCTTCTTCCTCCTTCTTGTTCATCTCTCTGTCAGTATTCCTGGCTCCTCCATCCTCTCTATGGCTAATTCCTGTCAACTAGTCACTGGCTCCACCCCAATCCAAGGTTAATTTTATTAACTCAGTCTCATAGTTTCACAGTGCAATCAAATATCCCACAACAGTTTTTTTTTTTCCTCAAAAAGTTTTGGAGTCCCTGCCTGCTGAGGTATATCTTCAGTTTAAAATACATATTGCCACACAAATTACTGTGCAATATATAAAATATTGTCGAAACTCTATTTAAATACTTTTAAAAGAAATTTGAATATATAAACTAACCCAGAAGTCTATTAGATAAATTATACCTAATATATTTGTAAATACTTTTGCTTTTTTTCTTTAAAAAGCTTAGAATAGCCAGGCAGTGGTGGCACACACCTTTAATCCCAGCACTCGGGAGGCAGAGCCAGACAGATCTCTGTGAGGCCAGCCTGGGCTACCAAATGAGTTCCAGGAAAGGCGCAAAGCTACACAGAGAAACCCTGTCTCGAAAAACCAAAAAAAAGCTTAGAATAGTCCATACAGATATGAAAAAACACAAATTTTGTTTGGTAATAAAGAAGAAGCTACTATAATAATAGGATAGTATATCATAGCATGAGGGAATTATTTGAGTACATCATGAAAAAATTTAAAGCCAAAAGAATGAAAGAGGAAAGACTGAAAGAAAAATAACTTATGAAAACACCTAGTTCACAGTTTGGATTTGCCCAAGCCAGTAACTATAAAAATAATTCATTTGCAAATAATAAACTTTCATTTGTCAACATAGAAGTAGCCATGGTTAATGTAAAAACAATTAATAGATTTTCCTCAGAGGTAAATGCTGACATCCCAGAGTAGCCTTTTCAACAACTTGTAAAGTAAGACTCCCCAGGGCCTTGTGAATGGCAAGCTTATTAATATGAACTCTCCAAACACCACGACATAAAGTGTCTGTTCAGGAGGTCATCTCCAAAATGTACCCCATACATCTTCATGCACAAGAAATGATAATTTATCACCCAGACAGAAGGATCTACTGTAAACTAATCCAAACTGCTGATGATACACTAAATCAGTTTGAGTGATAAGTATAAATGGAGCTGGAAGCAGAGTACCGAGGGATACAGATCCACCTGATCAATGAGATGTCACAAGGCAAATGAAATGCAATGTTGACAAACATAGGCTCCCTTGGTTGAAAATTAACCAAATCAAGTATTGGAGCATAAAAGTGCACGTTAACAGTAGCTTCACATGAAGGTTTATTTTAATTTTTTTTTTTAGCAGTTTCAGATAAAACTGCACAGGCTGGGCCAGTGGAATAGAATATAGGGTGTACTCAAAATAATATATTTTACATACCGTAGAAAATATGAGAGGGAAAGGAAAAGGGATGCAAAGACATTCTGCCCAAAGAATGCAACCATAGTCACTCAATCTGATGTGCAAATACATGTACATAGTTAAAGGGAAATAATAAAAATTGTATGCAGAAAACGATTTCATATCAGCTTGCCACCGGGAATTCAAATTCAATTTCTATTTCCCTTATGAAAACTTAAATGTTTTCTGAAACTGTCACGTTACAAATTCGACGGGGAAAACAAAGTAGTGGGGATAAGGGAAGGACATTCCTCTACATAGTTTATATTCATGGAGGGCACTCTTTGAGGTGAAGGGGGAAAAAAAAGACTTTCTCAACTATGTGATCAGAATGGAGTCTTCGTCCCTCAGCAAATAGAACCTACATCCTTCAGCAAATACGTTCGATGGAGTCAGCTATTCTGAGGGCATCTGTAATGAAAAGGGCTGATTAAAGTAAATTTTGATGGCTGCTAAAACTAATCTACAAAAGTAGCTTGGAAGGAAACTTATTCTTCAATAAATGTATATGCTCTTCTTATTTGTTGCATTAAATTTATAGTTTGTCATAGCAAATTTAACTCTTGCCTTTGTGTTTTATCTTCCAGCTTATTTTTTGATAAAAATAGAATTCTACTACAAAAATAGAGCCCAACCCCAGTTGCAGTTTATTTAAATTTCAAAATGAAAAGCTTACTAAGAACAGATAAGATTGATTGCTCTCTCTGTCTTAGCATAATTGTATTTCAGGTGAACATCAATTTACTTTAAAGGACACTTCTAAGTAGCAGAATGCATCATAAATAATTCATCAATCACAGTGACTAGAAGAGTGATTTACTCCAGCAGATTCAATAGAATCAAAGTTCTAATTTTTTATAGTTGTATCTGCTCTACATTTTTAATAATTTTGATGTATACAAATCCATTCTTACATTTTCATGCTTATTACCCTAAATGTCATATATACAACTGTCTTTTCTTTTTTTTCCTTTTATTAAAAATATTTTTTTCGTACAATATATCCTGATTAGATTTCCCTCCTTCTACTCCTCCCCGTTCCTCCGCAGTTTCCCTCCTCTCCATATCCATTACATTTCTGGCTCACATTAGAAAAGAAGAGGCTTCTAAGAGATAACAACAAAAAAATCACATAATTATCTCTTTTCTTTTAAAATGATTCATTTTCCTTTCAAATAAAAGTATTTTATTTTTACTGGGACAAACAGCAACTCTGTGTATCAGTAGTAAAACAAAACATAGACAGTACATAACTGAAAAACAAGTATAAAATTTTCTCAATTATATAATTTTAGTAAAGTTATCAATTTGTTTTCATATTACTTAAACATCTCAATTACAGTAAATAATAGCAGTTTTTCCTGGAGCTCTTATGTAAGTTGTTCAGGATCTGACATGTGCAAAAAGTAGTTCAGTTTGTAAATGCCAATTAAATACCTCTAAATCATATACCAGTTTGGGTTTGGGCAGATGATACACTGAGTATCCTATGACAGTCTTTCTCTTTTATCATACTGAAGGAATGAACCTGCCTTGCACACCTCAAATTTCTCCACCACAGTTGCAATTTGTTATTAGTGATTTCCCAAACTGTGAAATAACCTTAAAAGAAATATAACGACAAGAAAAAAATGGTAGCAAAAAAAAAAACAGAAAGCATTTTACTTACTTGCAAGCCCCTCTGAAAAACGGAATGGCCCATAAAATTAGCCAGCATTCTAATGAGAGCAGCACCCTGTGGAAAAAGGTATCGGAAAGAAAAGAATGTCAACAAGTGTGAGTCCGGCAGTGCCACATGTCAATCAAGAAGGGCTCACTCTCTTCACTCTGTTCTATTTGGAAAATATGCAAGGAGGAAAACATGAAATAGTATGTCACTTACAGGATGGAAAAATCCATGTTGTGTACACCTAAATGTTTTCTGGATCAAAACCTACTACTTCAAGGCGAAAATCCCTCAGACACAGTATCCCAAGAAACAGTCTGTAATTAGGAGTAATAAATACTTCTGTGAACTTGGTACATGGCAAACTTAATAAAGCACGGTACTTATACTCAAAAGCCCATGATCGGGTAACCTAAAGATACCCATGGTAAGAAATATTCATAGGAAAGCATAATTTGCAGGTACTCTAGCTGTTCGCTGAACTCCTAACTCAAGTGGGAATGCTTTACGGCAAAACCCAAGAAGAGAGTGTGAAGCAGTCAGGTTATCTGGGTTCAAATTCTGTCTCTGTTAATGTCTTAACACTTTACCAGGATGAATGATTAGGCCTCTCTTCTCTTATTTTCTTCTCTTGCAACATAGAGTTACCAAGAATCCTATACAGTGAGACATTTTTGAAGATTAATTAATGTGTATGTATGCATGTATGTATGTATGTATATGTGTGTGAAGTACATACATTGTAATTAGTGTATATATGTGTGTGTGTGTAAAGTACGTATTTCAAAAATTAGTACATATATGTGTGTGTATGAAGTATATATATATATATATATATATATATATATATATATATATATATATATATATTAAAAAGTTGTGTGTGTATCTGTGTAGAATAGTGCAAAACAGGGTCTGAAAGATAGTGTGAGTCATCAATGCTATTTTCATGGTGGCCCAATATTTTTGTCATATCTATTTCTTATAGAGGCTAGATGCAGTTATATGTACCTATATCTAAGGAAGTATATGTAGTTAATATATTTTGATTAATAAAATAAAATACTAAATTAGAAAATTGAATACTACTATTATAATGAATATAGAACACTATCAGCGCAAAATGTGAATAAGTAATCAACTTGAAGCCATCCAAGTGATGAGGGGCTACCCAGGATGATCACAAACCTGAATGTAAACTACAAATTAGTCTTCTAGACATCACCAGTTCATACTGAGCTGCTCAGGGGTTATTAAGCAGTGACTGTTTAAGTATAAATGACAGTCTAGGTTTAGTGGAAATTCCTTTGTGCCTACGTATCCCTCTCCACCATCCTTACAAATGCACATACTGCAGTAACTCCTCTCTCCAAGGTGTCTCTTTTAACTTGTATTAATGCACATCAATTGTACATGCTGATGAGGTTCACTATGACATCTCACTGCACGCATCCAGGGTATCCTCTTCAAAGAGAGAACCCTAGAATACTCATCAGTCCTCCACTGCCCTGCCACAAGTCAGTCCAGCAACACAACTGAGATTTTCTACTGTTTGACACTAAAACTGTTCCCTTTAATTTTGGAACGGTGGTGCAATATAATATTCTCACTCCATTAGTCAATCACCCTTAAAGCATTCTCATAAAAAAAAAAAAACTCAATTTCCCGAAGAACTTGTTCCTCAAACGAGAATGTTATCATCATCTCAACAAATAATGAGCTGACAAACCATAAAGTTTTATGCCCCTCCAGATATATTTCCCTCTCTCATCTTCTACTCCTTTCTCTCTCTATCTGTAATATTTTGCTTCTTGCTCTCTGTCTTCTGCACACTTGTATAAGTCCATAAAACATAAGCATTTATGATTCAATCTGGGGAGCGGGTGAGAATCCCCTGTAGAAGGCATCAGCTCTGCTCCCTGAATTTCCTTGACAAGCTCTCCTCCTATGTATTTTCCAATCTAGTCTACCCACCCTGAGGGGAAAATCTGTCAGTTCTTCAACAACACTAACCCCTGCCACCTGGGGAGAGAGAGACTCCTAGGCAGTCAGCTCCAACTTCCCTTCAGAGCAGAAGAGCCATCTTCAAATGATTTAAGTGATTCCCTCCAGGTAATGATGACTTGGTCCCTTGTCGGGCTATAAAAACTATCAGTTTGGCGTGAACTAATGACAAAAGAGTACTTTGTAATCATAAAGAATGGGCCTGTTTTTCTTGTCTTAGCCAGGCTGGAGCAGGGTGCTGAGAAATAAGACATAGAAATATAGCCAATATTCAAAAGTCATAATAACACCGAGCTCTTCATTATTGTTATATCCTCTAACTCAATTATATTTCAGAAAATATATTATCTGGATATTTTGATGTTGCCTGGAGCAGTCTACACTCTTCTATATTTAACTGACCTTTTCTGGTGATTGCTAATTTTTAAATGCCTATTTTAAAGAAGTCTGCAAAGAGGTGTCAGGTGGGCTGACCAAATGTTCTTTAGTCAGTATATAGGACACTTATTATGCATGGCTATAACAAAGGCCACACCTTACAGCATAGCTAAAGTCACCACACATACTTCTGTTTTGAGGAAAGTACTGAATTACATTTCTCTGTATCTTGAAAATATGTATTTACCTAGCTGACCTCACTTATAACGTGGCAAATTATCTTCACTTGTGACTGAAAGTGCCAGCCTCAAGAAAACGAATTGGACATTTAAGAACCTTGAGGGGTTTATGGAATGAAATTGTATTGTTTCTCAGGAAAAGTTATCATGACTTTATAAAGCAAGATCCAGGGGGATATACTGTGCTATCTGACTGATTTGTTTAGGATATCATAAACAATATGTCACTAAAAGGGGGTTATAAACTCAATCATAATTTAATAGTTTTTCTTCTTCTGACCTTTATTTTTTTGGTTTACTTGGTAATAATCTGAGTACCTAATGATTTCAGAGATGACACTCAATATATCCAGAGAAAGGACCCCCTCTCCTCAGATTTAGCACATTCCTTCCCTGCAGTTGGCTAAGATGAGCTCCCTTAATTCAATAATGGTTGACAAAGAGAGAAACTGTCTGCACATATGGCAATTACTTTGTATTCTTGAACACTAGCTATTCATCAAGGATATAGCCTTTATTGTTTCACTGGTATGTTTTCACAATATGTAATCACTTTTTAAGAGAAGGTAATCTTACAAACTCAATTATTTCCCTAGCATATGTTTAGTGAGATGGTAGTTTGGTCAATATCCCACAGAATACAAATAGGGTTGATGTAAATATACCTCATCCCTATGGGATTGAAGGGTCTAAAGAGTGGCATTTCTGTTATACCTGGAAAGGTGGACATGCCCAGGCCCCATCTACATGATGTAAGGGGAATAGTATTTACATAGTCAGGCAGGTGAGGAGGTGAGAAACATGAAATATCGAAGGTCATACAGATAGGAAGGCATGAAGCCTCATAATGGGAGATTGTGTGGGAAGTAAGTTTGAAGCAGATTTTAGAAGCTTGAATTGCAGAACTAAAGCATGTTGGAGGTGAGGGATGTTGTTTTTCTCTCTTGGGGGGCCTGCCACTCAGCTCCTAAATAAGTCACACATGGAGGCTTATTCTTAATTATGAATGTCCAGCCGTAGCTTGGCTTTTTTCTTGCCATCTTTCCTTAACTTAAATATCCCATCTATCTTTCACCTTTGGGCTTCTCCTGCTGTTACTTCTGTAAATCTTACTTCGACTGTGTGGCTCACCCCTGATGTCCTCCTCCTTCTCTGGCTCCTAGATCTCTCTCTTCTCCCAGATTTCTCCTTCTATATATTCTCTCTGCCTACCTGCCCAACCTATTTCTGTCTCCTGCCTTATTATTGGCTGTTCAGTTCTTTATTAGACCATCAGTGTTTTAAACAGGCACAGTAGTAACACAGCTTCACGGAGTTAAACAAATGCAACATAAACAAAAGTAACACACCTTAAAATAATATTCTACTGCCGAGGGCTTAAGTATGATACCCCAGAACAGGTAAGATAACCAGAAATAAACAAGAGGAATGAGTGGTCGCAAGACAGTTTAACAAATGTGACAGAGGCAAGTTCGATTTCTAGTCTAAGACAGGAGAAGATGACCTTAGGAGACGTGCATAGATACACACTTTAGGAGAAATTAGCTAAGCTGGTGAAAATCACTTGGAAAAGGTGAAGTTTTCAAAATAGGTAGAGAAGCAGGGGACTAGAGAGAGGAAGGGCAACAGAGAAATGAGCGATGGGAGAGGGCAGAGCTGGAGGCATAAACAGGGTTGGGAGTAAGTAAGAATGCCAGAGGAATGGGCTCTGGTTTCAATGAAGGCAACAGAAAATACAGTCTATAGGGCTTTCTACAGACCATATCGCCTTCTCTGTAGTGCTCAGGATAAACACTCAGGAATTTAAAATTAAAAGCAAAGGCGGGGGGATGCCAGAGTGTGACAAACAGCTGAAAGCGACCTGGGTATGAGCAGAGTTGGGGAAGGACAAGGTTGGGGTTTGTGCTTTTAACTTCACGGAAAATAATATTTAACAGAGGACTGCTGTGGGCTGGTCTGTATGTCAAGTTACTCTGATTGGTCAATAAATAAAACACTGATTGGCCAGTGGCCAGGCAGGAAGTATAGGCGGGACTAATAGAGAGGAGAAAAGAAAGCATAGGTTTCCTGAGAAAAGCCTGAAGAGGGAAAGGGGAGGGAAAGGTCACGAAGAGATTTTAGAAACCAAAGCACAAGACTGAAACAGTCTGAACACAACAGACTTCAGCTGTACAAGGAGGCATGGTCTGTCTGTCTCTCCACTAAGGACCCACCACCCAAAGCACTTCCTAGTACACAAATGATTCTCAGATAAGCAAAGGTCCATCTCTTTCAACAGTGCAAAGGCAGTCTTTAGATTATGTCATCCTGAGAGTAGAACTAGATTTCCAAATAACTGCAGTGAGGAGGGAGGAGAGAAACTTGTGGAGCGTTAGAAAGCCCTGTCTTAGCAGAAATCATTCAAAATGTATCATTCACTAAGGAATAATGGTGCGATAGAGTCATGAT